GTGGCTCAGCCTGTAATCCCAGCACTTTGGGAGGCCGAGGCGAGAGGATTGCCTAAGCCCGAGGGTTTGAGACCCACCCAGGGAACTTGGCAAGACCGCGTCTCTACAATAAATCAAAAAATTAGCCTGCTGTGGTAGCGCGTGCCTGTAGTTTCCGGCTCCTTGGAAGGCTGAGGCGGAAGGATCGCCGGAGCCCAGCAGGTCAAGGCTGCGGTGGCCGGGAGCGGCCGCTGCACTCCAGTCTGGGCGACAGAGTGAGACTCCAACTCAAAAAAAAAAGAAATCTCCCTGTAGGCCCCAACAGCTACCCCTTTGACTTGCAGAAACTCGAAGATTGTGACAGAAAAGCCATTCACCAAATAGACCAGCTTCAGCGGGAGCAGCGGCACCTGAAGAGGCAGCTGGAGAAGCTGGGCATCGAGAGGATCCGGATGGACAGCATCGGCTCCACGGTCTCCTCAGAGCGCTCCGACTCGGACAGGGGTGAGGCCCTCTCGCTCTCAGCTGCCTTCCCCCTCCTCGTCTCCCTTGTCCTCTCCCACCTTCCGGAGGAGAGTTCGCTGCTGCTCACAGGAGGCAGAGCGGGAAAGGCGCTGAGAACTCGCTTATGATTTAGAGAAGCCGGGCGGGGTGGCCTCCAGTGACGCGTCCTCCTTCCCTCCTGGCAGTTAGGCGACAGCATCTCCAGAAGGGTCAGGTCAGGGTCGGTTTGGGTTTAGCCTGAGTTTTCTGCAGGGCGCCTTCATCCGTGTCTCTCTCTCGTCCTCCCTGCAGAAGAAGAGATCGACGTGGACGTGGAGAGCACAGACTACCTCACGGCGGACCTGGACTGGAGCAGCAGCGGCGTGAGCGACTCCGATGAGCGGGGCAGCATGCAGAGCCTCGGCAGCGACGAGGGCTACTCCAGCGCCAGCATCAAGAGGATAAAGCTCCAGGACAGCCACCAGACGTGTCTCAGTCTCTAAGAGCGGGCTGCGGCTGCCTCTGCGAAGGCTCTCCCCGTCGGATCGGATTAGGTAGCGTATGGACCTGCCCACGACTCCCTTGCACGTCGACTCCCTGTACCACCTTTTCCAGATCAGCTTTGTAACGTTTCAAGGAAGTGCTTAGGACTGTGGGTTTCTGATTGCATCCACTAGCGTCTCTTTCTCTCCACAAAAATCTGTCTCCGAGAGATTATGCATTCCAATCGATTCGAAGCACCCAGGAATCCTTTTGCCGAATACGCAAGTGTCCCCTCTCAGCGGTGTCCCTCTTTGCTGCCCTCACGTCCTCCACCAGACCTTTCTCACAGCTTTCTGGCTTACTGTGCTACTCGCCCAGGAGGAATGCCCCAGTGTGTCCTGTGCTTAGGAAATAGAAGGAAGCAAACTTTTCCAGTCGAGATCCCGATCTCAGAACTCCAAAGTAAGCTTTGAAAGCGGCACTTAAGAGCACTTAACTGTGGACCTCACCCCCTGTGAGGAAGTCAGGAATACCTCTGGGAAGCACACCATTCACACGCGGCCCGTGCGCATTCCCCCGACGCGTCGTGTGTGGACGGGGGCAGTATTTCTCACTTTAAAATGGACACCTTGATAGCGTGTCTTTGGGCTTGCACAGCTTATAAAAGTTCCAAACTGTTTCTTCTCACACACAAAACAGTACAACCTGTTTTTGTATGATGCTGTTGGGACCCTGCTGTGTACTGCTATCTCAAGGCACATTTTCCCCTAAAGTTGGTTAATGCTACTTGTCTCTGGAACATTTTTTTTTCCTACCTCAGAGATAAATGAGATCTCCATATCCCACTTAACACAAAGTGATTATGCCTCTTTTTTTTTCCCCAAATAAGTGACATTTGGTCCAATTCTAATCTATTTTCCTATTTAACTTTCAGCAATAACTGAGCTTTGTCACTAGCTGCGCTGGTGGCCATCATCAGTGAGAGGAAAAGTCCACATTTCTGCTCTGTTGCAGGTGAACAGGAGGGGATGGTACAGTGGTACCAGAATTCCTCTCCTTACTGATTATTTTTGGACACACTCGGAAACTTCTTTCTGGAGGCTTCTGGGTTGATTGCTTAAAAGGCTGATTTTTCTTTTTGGTTATGATTTCTCCCTTTCAAGTGGGCTCCCACTTCGTAGCATTTTTATTTAAGCTAAAACAGAGCACATGTATATGTACATACGACACATGAAATCTATAAATACTATTTATTCATTTTATATAAACTAATGTAATGGAAAATAAATTCTTATGACTTTGTGCTTTTATAGATGTTCTAGAAACTTTGTACGTAGGTATCTACAAAATTGGTTCATTCCCCGTAATATTTTTGCATACATATTTTTTGAGGTCTTGAGGTTTTCAGCCTCTGGCGAATCTTTTTCATTAAATTTGAACCATTTGTAAAATCTGTGATGCTGAAGCAGAGCGTGTCACCAAGTGATGAGAACATTCCTAAAATCCACAGACGCACTGCGACCTAAGGGCTCAACGGCTGACTTGGCAGCGGGCAGCCACCCCGTGCTCCCCTGCGGGGGCCTGTGGTCCCTAGCGCCCCACAGCCGCTCAGGTCACCGGCGCTTGCACCTTGCACGCAGCTCAAGTCAAATTCAAAGGACTCTACACAGAAGCTCATTCCATACGTGGAGAGTGAGCTAAACAAAACAAGATTTCTTCTGTGGTTTTTAAAAAATGATTCTTTAATTTATTAAAAAATGTTTTCATTGGAAGTAGTGGATTCCTAAATTATTCCAAAGTCATCTGTAATTCTTCTGTTTTTGTTTTGTTCTGTTTTTTTTTTCCTTCATTTCAGCTTTGGGTTGGGGGAGGGGCAGGTGACACACAGGATTTTTTTTAATTGTTGGAATCTTTTCCAATAACCAGCTGAAGATTTGCACTGAAATACAACTTGTATGCCTTTTGCATCTTTAAAGCCTGCTTCCTGAATTTAAGCAGAGTGATAGTGTTCAAAGAGCCAGCGCAGCCTGTAACATGTTTGAAAAAGATTTATCTGCACTTTGAGGTCCCTTTTGAATGCCATTCACTAGACCTCTCAAGTGTTTTGTTTCATTGCTACATCCAAGCGCCTCACAAGTCCACGATGCTGATGGCATCAGAAACTCAAGACTTTGGAAAAAGCTTGTGGGCTTGCCTTGGGGGAGGGAAGGGAACAAAATCTGTGTACTTTGTTTAATTTAGAAATAAGGCATCTGGGAGATGCCATTATTTTCTGTGTTTTAATTGTTGTGCCTTTGAGTTAAACTGCATTTTTGTCTTTTGGTTGAAATATGAAATGTATTGTCCCAATATAAAGCAGTAATTATTTGACCTTTGCACTGTTTGTCTGGTCCTTTTCAATTTGGTTGCATAGAAATGTGAACTTGATAGAGCTCTATATTTTTAATACACTTGTGATAAACTGACACCAGGGTTAGACATTACTTTCAAAGCTTGAGGTGAACCGAGTCGGCATGCTAGACAGGCTTCTCCTCACCAAAACTGTAAGCTTCAGGACCAGCAAACTCAGCCCAAGGCAGCTAATCCCTTCCCCTGTGGCTGATCCTCAGCCCCGTTCACCAATCTGTCCTCTCTCATTCACTGATCCACCAGCCTGACTACTAAGAGCTAGCCGTCTTTTTGGTTGTTTTGTCTTTTGAAGTAAAATGAAAACCTTTCTATTAGGGTTGTCGGGGGGCGGGGAGGGGCAGAGATATAAACCCCAGCCTTTAAGACTTTGACAATTGTACGTAACTATAGATGTGTATAAATATAGGCACATGCATATTTTTATGTGAAAGTTGACTTTAAAAAATGAAGAAGAAATCTAAACAGCACTCTTATTGATACCATCAGTATGCAAGTAAGAAAATAAGAGTACATAGTCCAGTTTAATTTCGTGCAGTGAGAAAATATCTATGTGTGCTTCTGCAACATCCCTGAGAACATAGCTCTCCACCCCTTGCTGGCTCTGAATGGTGAGCTGAGCACCCAGAGCATTTATATTTCTTTTGCTAAGCAGAGATCTTGAATTCTCCAAGGTGCTGACAGCCACTGCTGGCTCCTTTCTCTAGGCATAGACCTAGAGCTAGTTTAGAGATTCAAAGACCACCACATTTCTGAGCAGGACCTAGATTCTCCCTGTCAAGCCAGGACCAAGAGAATTTCAGTGTTGATTCAGAGTTGAGCATTAAGTAGGCTCTGATCCTGCAGTTGGCCACTTGAGTAGTTGTTGTTGTTTTTTTAAGGTGGGCATTTTCCTTTAACCTCTACTTTTCAAAAGTAACAAAGGATTCTCATCTGGGTGTCCTGTGGCCTCTCCCCCCTTCCCTCTCCCCATCCTAAAGGGGCCAAGAGCATCAAATCCTGGGTTGTGCAAAGAAAGTGTAAACTAGGTAGGATTGTGATGCTCAAAATAACCACTGAGCAACATATTGGGACTTGGTCATGGATTTTGTGGGCTTTTTCTTCTTGCCTCTTCTCCATCCTTTAAAGAGAGAGCTTCTATTGGAGAAGTGTATGCGTACACACACACATATACACACATGTATTTTTTAAGTTTCTATGCCATACTGTATTGGCAAGAATACCATTTTCATTGTGCTTTTTCATCTGTTTATTCCCCCAAGTCTTAGTCTTTTCTGTTTCTTCATGTTTCCTCAAATTTCTTTGTTTTCCCTGTGTGTTGAACACCAGGTAATAGAAGACTAGAGACAATGTCCTGCATGTCACTTATTTTTCTATGTCTGACTCTGATGCGGCGTGTATAGGTAGCTGGCTACTCCTGAGTTAAAAATCTTTCCCTGGGAGAAGACAACCCAAAGGCTCTTTAAATCAGGTGGTTTTCCCCATTCTACACGATCAGATCTCTGTCGACCATATAGGATGTTGTGTTTTCAAAGATGCTGTGTTAGGGGGTGGGGGCAGTATGTGATAAATCATGGTTTTTTTTATCATCAGTGTTTACTACATGGATGGTTTTCTCACATATTCTTCTGAAAGAAGAAGTCATTGATAGGCACTGCTAGATTCAGCTGTTGTTTGGCTGAAGAAATGGAGTATCTTTGTCTTTTCTCCAGATCATAAAATGAGGGTTAAAAAGGCACCTGGTTCTAAGGTTGATTCAGATTTTTAATTTTGATTTCTTGTTCTATCGGGGGGGTTGGGTCGAGGGGGCATTCTTCGTGGTAGCTCTCACCTGACAACCAGACTTGCCTTTCCCCCTTGACCCTAGAATTGGTGCTCTTGGAACCCCACGATTAGCCGTCAGGTTTGGGGCCCTCTTCCTAATGCTGACCACAGCCTAGACAGAGGAGCAGCAGATGAAAGAGTGTGAAACTCAGTTTCCAGACATTTATTTCTTTGTGTAAATATGATGCCAATGTAAGTCCTGTGTCAAGACCATAGAGGATGGTGCTTTTTACTACAGTTAGTACATGCATTTTTAGAAACTACTCCATGTTTTAGAGAATCTTTGCTGTGTATATGTAAACTTCTGTATTGTTCATCCGTTAACAAATAAATTATTTCATTATTTAAGAATGTCATTGGTCTCCCTGATGTTTTCTATTCCAGTTTATGCTCTTCCATGGTTTTGCTTGCAGGATTTAATTAATCTTTCTCTTTCCTTCCTTCCTTCCTTCCTTCCTTCCTTCCTTCCTTCCTTCCTTCCTTCCTTCCTTCTCTTTCTGACAGGGTGTCACTCTGTCGCTGAGGCTGGAGTGCAGTGGCACCATCATAGCTCACTGTAGCCACAAACTCCGGGCTCAAGGGTTCCTCCTACCTCAGCCTCCTGAGTACCTGGGACTACAGGTGTGAGTCATCGTGCCTGGCTACATTTCTCTTTTCATTTCATGGAAAATTTACTGGGCAAAAGTTTTCAGTCCCCGGACTCTGTGACAAGGATTTAGATCGTGTGGTTCCAGTTCAGCCCACTTGTGGATCAGCGTTAGCCACACTCCCATCCTCTCTCTCCCTGTCTCGCCTGCTCGATTGCTCACTCTTGGCTGGCTCGCCCTTGGTCATGGGCAACTCTGCTGATGCAGGCAGTGTGCGATGCCTGCAGCCATGACCCAGCATCCCCAGTCTTTGGAGCAGCCCACAGCCTGGCGGGAAAGATACGCACACAAGCTAATGTGAAGTACTTAGTTGTGGAGTACGTTGTACAAGAAGTGTCGTGAGAAATCACAGAGGTGGTGCCTTTGAGTTGGGCCTGGGAGGAAGAGTGGGTGTTTGCTGAGGAAGGAGCATAACTGGGAAAGAGGACATCCAGGGCGGCGAGGCAGGTGCCCAGGAAGGGCCCAGCTCCTTGGGGCTGTCCTGTGGCCTGAGGCCTGGACATGTGGCGCACAGGGCACACGTGGAGGGAAAGGCCTCGTGGATCACACGACCCACGGAGAGGAGAGAGGCACCGGTTTAGGATGTTTGCTCTTTTGCCTATTAACCCTTTGGGTTAATTTGCATGTATTCATTCATCGAACAACTGCGAATCAAGCAGCTGCTCTGCGTCAGGCTTTGTCCCAGAAGTGAGGACACAGCAATGAACAGAACACACAAAAGCCCCAGCCCTCCTAGCGCATCTTCTCTAGGGTGAGTCTGGGCTTTGGCACTCAAGTCCTGTCTTGGCAAGTCTTCCGAGGGCAGTGCAGCCTCCTGATCTCGCCCCCCCAGGAGAGCACTTGCTCAGGGTCGGTGGCTCAGCCTGTAATCCCGCGCCTTTGGGAGGCTGAGGTGAGTGGATTGCCTGAGCCCGCGGGTTCGAGACTGCCTGGGCAGGCGAGACCTCATCTCTACAATAAATCAAAAAAATTAGCCGGGCGTGGTAGCGGGCACCTGTAGTACCAGTTACTTGGAAGGCTGAGGCGGAAGGATCACCAGAGCCCAGCAGGTCGAGGCTGCGGTGACCGGAAGCGGCCACTGCACTCCAGTCTGGGTGATAGTGAGACTCCAACTCAAAAAAAAAGGGAGAAAAGAGGTATCTTTCCCCTTCTTGACCAGTGACCTCTTATTCTAAAAACCACCTAAAATTTTGGAAAGGTTTTTATGGCGTCCTAGAAGGTAATTATAATGGCACTCGGCCCGCAGGTCTGATGAAAAAGGAGCTTTCTGGTACTTCCCCTTTGGAAAGGTGGCCTGGCTTGTCTGCTTTCTCCAAAAAGCAGGAGCTATATGCGATGATGCTGGGCCCTCCTAGGATGTGTAATTCCTGGATCCATCACCGCGGACGGTTTCCAGATTGAATGCACTGAAGAGCAAATTGTTAACAACACCAACGAAAGCTGTGTTCTCGCAAAGCCTCGGGGTCCCTTGTTTACTGTGACTGAGGAGAGGAAGCTTTGAACTGTAGATAATTATAAAGACGACTTTCACATAAAGATAGCCCCCCCCACAAGATGACAAATCTCATTTCCAAAGTTTCCGACGTTGTTAGGTCACAGTAGCCAGATAAAAAAGCAGCTTTGGTTGTGCCACAATGGTCCCATCTCCTGAGTGTTTACTACATGCTGGGTGCTCTACTGCAGGGACCCGGTGACTCTTCACATCAACCCTGGGAGGGGAGTGCTATTTTTACCCTCATCTTACAGATGAGGAAACAGAGAGAGAGAGAGGAGCGGCATCGTACCCCCAAGTCCGCAGAGCTGCTGAGGGGTGGGGCTGGGAACCTCAGCAGTTCGGAATGCTCAAGCCCACCCTCCCTCGCCTCAGGTTTTGCAAGAGCTGTGTCAAATTATCATCCATTCTCCACATACAGCAGCTCCTCTTCCTTAAGACTTTGAATGAGGCTACCTATTTTCTGTGGAGGGGCACTTAGATTCCAGGTGGTGGAACAGAAAACTGGGAGCCCACTAGACAACTGCCAAGTCATCGTCCTCCCATCAGTCTTCCTGAGTCTACTGTGAAGAAGAGCCCCCCGCCGCTGGGCCTCGTAGGAACTCGTGGCAAAAGGCCAGGATGCTCTTAGGGGAAGACGTCCTTTCCGTACATATTCTTTTGGTTGTGGATCCTGTGACATCACTCATTCATTCAACTCGTATTCACTGTGTGCAGCTTCCACTTCGGCCTTGGTATCCGTGTTATCCAGCACCTCCTTGGCTTACCTCTTAGAGGTCACTGTGACCTAGATGAGGAGGAACACACCAAGGCTCTCTGCCAAGAGACCCTGGAAGGCGGCCCCTTCTTCCCCTTGCCACTTGGGTCTTCCCATCAGTAGAGGACATTCAGCTTCCAGGAGCTGAAGGTCCCACGGGCAGGGTCTCTGCAGGAAGTGTTTTTCAGGGTTCAGCCCAAATCGAATGACAAGTCAGCTCTCTTCCCACTCGATTCCGTGCAGTATCCTGGAGCCCCTGCATCTTAGGGCGTCCTTGTGGAGACAAGATGTGTAGACGAGGCTGGCCAGGGGTGAACATTTTGCCCAGAAGAGAAAGAAGCTTCCTGTTGGGACAGAGTGATTTGCCCCTTTCAGGAAGACAGACGGGCAGGCTCCAACGGGCCGGAGCTTCCGGGAGCCTCCCCCACTGTGGGTGAAGGCACATCCTGGGGAAGACGAGCTTGGGATTTAGCGGGAAAGGGGAGCCATCCAGTCCTGAGGGTTGGCCGAGGCGAGAGGCGGCACAGAAGCAGAGGGTACGCACCAAGGCTAAGCCAGAGCTGGTGAACTAGGGGTACTGGAGCTGCTTGAGAGGCCACTAGGGCCCTGGGAGAAAAGGGGGGCCTTTTCGAGGATGCTCTTGCCCTCAGCTGGGGGCAGAGGTGAGGGTGACAGTCAAGGCAGGGAGTTCTATGCCGGAGATAGGTCTGCCTCGAGGAAACCCCTGGGCCGGCGAGAGAAGCACCTGGAAGGGCCCAAGGAACAGAGAAGAGGAAGCCAGGCCCTGGCCCGGATGGCCTGGCTGGGAACACCGGGAGGCAGCTCCAGCCCTGCAGGGAGCCAGTGGGCATGGAGCTCCAACATCTGCCAGGGAGTTTGTTTAGTCATAGACAGAACATCCAACAAACTCTTGCCTCACCCGGCCTTGCTGATCTTCCAGAAAGTAGAAAACGCCGCTACTGGGGCACACTGGAGCACATTCCGAATGGCAGAGGTGGGTGGGCTGGTCGTGTGGAACGCAAGCACCTCCCGGGGAATGCCCGTGTCCCTTAGACACTCCGAGGTAGTCCCAGGTGTGCACTGCCTCGGGTCAGGCAGACCTCAGGGCCAAAGCCAACTCCAACCCTCACACTCAGGGTGACCCGGACAAGTGTCTTGAGCGCTGTGTTTCTGAGCTGCAGAGCAGGGATAATAACGATGCTTATTTCCCAGGGAGGCTGAGGGCTACGTAAAATAAAGATTGTGAAGGGCTTATCTCAGTACCCGACATGCAGAAAGCAGTCAATACTGGCGAGCCATTGTGACCATTTTACTAGCCAAGGAGAGAACGTGTGGACATTGTCAGGCAAGTGGCATGGATTTGCAGGATGCAAAATTCCAACCCTTGGAGAAGAAATAAGCCTGGAAGGGAAAATTACACGAGAGGGTGGGGCTGTGTTCAAATATGTCATTCTGACTGTGCTATTTAGACAACAAATAGTGGCCAGGAAGTGGTTAAACTAGAAGGAGGAGCAGAGGAGAGGGTGACTCAGGGACAAAGTGTGGACTTTGATGGGAGGGGGAGGGGAAGCGTTTTCCAGGTGGGACCTCACAGAGTGCTGCTGAGAAAGACAAAACACATCCTAGGACCCGTCCAGCCTGGCAGGGTGGCGCCTCTCAGAGACTCTTCTCAAAGGGAAAGCGGCTAGTGCAAGAGAGCTCAGAGAGGGAGACCCTTGCTGGAGTGCCCGCACTGGGCACGAGTCTTGTCAAAAGAGTGCAAGGCGCCTTGAGTGCCCGTTCACATGTCTCTACAACAGCAAGTTCATAACAGAAGCTCTACCAGACGATTCATGACAATGATGACTCCACACTTCACGTGTTACCTCTGAACAACTGCAGAGGTGTAGCAATGCCCCACTGCTCTGCAGTTAATAGCTTCGGTCAAGGAACTTCCCAGTCAAATGCAGACCAGCCTAGGCATGGAACAGCATAGGATCCCAAAGCGGTGCCAATAGTAGAAATACTGTAGATACTCAGGATAGGGCCTGATGAGGCCTGCTCTCTCTTTTCCACGCTTAGATCCTTTCATGTCAGGGAAAACAATGATTTTGGAACTCAGTGTAGGAATCCCATCGCTTCCCCCTGAAGGAGGAGTATGTGTTCACCTCAGGGAAACAGTGAACCATGAAATGGATCGTCTCTACCTCCTCGCTTGGGTTGCCAGGAAGTGCAGGGCCAAATGCACACTTCACCTTTAGAAAGTATGTGAGAACCTATGATTTGCGTATTTGTGTCTTAATCTCCCGCTAGTCTTTTCTCTGTCCTTGATATCTTTTTCTTTCTTTCTTTCTTTCTTTCTTTCTTTATTTTTTTTTTTTGAGCTGGAGTCTCACTCTGTGGCCCAGACTGGAGTTCAGTGGCACACTCTCGGCCACCGCAGCCTTGACCTGCTGGGCCCCGGCGATCCTTCTGCCTCAT